AAAACCGAACTGAGAGAGATTCAAACGAAGCGAATGACGACATTTTCTCCGCGCGATCCGAAGCTGATGACGATCCGAAACCAGAATGTTCTATAAAAATTCTAGGACCGAATTGGAATATCAACACTGATGAAATTCACTATGACCTAACTGCATTGGTGAACTTTGCGGCAACACTTAATCCTACGAAGCGATCAGTGCTACGACTCGCGGCTAAAGTGTTTGATCCACTTGGATTCCTTACCCATTTACGATCTGTATGAAAGTTTTGTTCCAAACTCTGTGTGTTCATGGCGTTAATTGGGATGACGTGTTAGACGGAGAAGAGTTAGCGGCATGGAAAAGATTTATCGTAGACCTCTCAGCATTGAACGACATTCGAATACCTCGATGTTACTTCCGAAGAACCAAAGAGAAACCGACAGGTCACCAGCTTCACGGGGTTAGTGACGCCTCATCGAAGGCCTACGCAGCCGTAGTGTATTTGCGAACAGTTCATCATAACGGAGAGATTGAAGTAAATCTTGTGTCCTCCAAAACGAGAGTGGCTCCGATAAAAAAACAATCCATACCACGACTAGAATTACTGGGTGCAACTATCCTAGCTCGATTGATGAACTCTGTCCAGAACGGGCTAACGTCATTGAACACGACTCCTGAAGTATTTTGTTGGACTGATTCTTACACAGTTTTGTGTTGGATCAGAAACGAGAAAATTTGGAAATCTTACGTCAATCATCGTGTCCAAGAGATACGGGACCTTGTCGAGAAAGAATCCTGGAGATTTTGCCCAGGCGAACAAAACCCCGCAGATTTGCCATCTCGAGGAAGTCGCGGAATTGAGTTGACGAAGAATACGACGTGGTGGAACGGTCCAGAGTTTATTCGAAGCACCGAGGAGGCTTGGCCGAGTGAACCAGGACCTACGAAGAGTGACGAACTGAGCACGTTCGCAGAAATCACGAAGCCCAAGATTGAACCAACGATAACGAGAGCTTTAGCCAATGTTACGATCACCCCACCTAACGTAGAAGCCATCATGGATTGCAACCGGTACAGTACCAAAGAGCAACTTTTACGAGTAACAGCGTTATTAAAGAGATTCGGTGACAAAACGAGGAGACAGCCAGTGTCAATTGAAGTAACTGCGAATGAACTAAGAGCAGCTGAAAAACTTTGGGTGAATACCATACAGGCAAGCAATTTCGAAGACGAAAGGTCATATCTCCAAGGAGTTTCGAAGAAAGAACCGCTGCTCGTAAGACAGTTGGATTTATTCTTGGACGAAGAAGGTACGATTCGATGCCAAGGTCGAATAGATAAATCATCATTACCCATGACAACAAAGCGGCCAATACTTCTTCCTGCACGACATTTCTATACGCAACTTGTAATTCGCAACTGTCACGAAGTCGTCCATCACAACGGTGTCAAAGAAACATTGAACTGCATTCGCGAAGTATATTGGATTCCAAGAGGTCGAGAAGCCGTTAAACGTGTAATTGGAGTATGTGTTACATGTAGAAAACACGAAGGGAAGCCATACGGTACACCAAAGTTCGCCCAGCTACCATCATGTAGAGTAAGCGATGATCCACCTTTTGCTCACACCGGCATGGACTTCGCTGGACCACTATATTTAACGACCGAAGGTGAAGATGATAAAGAACGAAAGTTGCAAAAGGCGTACATTTGTCTCTATACCTGCGCGTCAACAAGAGCGTTACACCTTGAACTTGTGCCAAATTTATCAGTGTCTATATTCTTACAATCATTTAGAAGATTCACCGCTCGAAGAGGATTACCGACAAAGTTACTATCGGATAACGCGAAAACGTTTAAAGCGGCTGCAAAAGAAGTCAAGGGAATTACGAGATCTATGGAAGTTCAGCGGTATTTGGCGAACAAAGGAATCACGTGGGAGTTTATAGTGGAAAAGGCACCCTGGCAAGGGGGTTTCTGGGAAAGAATGGTGAAATGTGTCAAACGCTGTCTGAAAAAGGCGGTGGGTCGAGCATCATTATCGTTTGAAGAAATGCGCACATTATTGATTGAGATTGAAGCTACGCTGAACAATCGACCTATGACTTACGTATACGATGATGAAGAAGGCGTGTCTTATCCGTTAACACCTGCATCGTTGATCTATGGTCGAAACATCGCTACAACGCCAAACGATAAGCAATTCGAAGTGATCAGTACAAATCAATCCCTAACTCGACGACAGAAGTATCACAAAAGGCTTTTAAACCAGTTTGCGAAGCAATGGAGAACGGAGTATCTCACTAGTTTAAGAGAGTCATCAAGGTCAAAGGTTTCGTCGGATGCGGCTCGTAAGCTGGCGATAGAAGAAGGAGAGATCGTCGTTTTAAAGAACGACAAGTCATCACGATCATTTTGGAAGGTAGCTAGGGTGGAGGAATTACTCCCCAGTAAAGACGGTGTTATTAGAGCGGCAAAGGTACGCGTAGTTAATCAAGAGAATGGAAAATCAACATGGTTACGAAGACCCATACAACACCTTGTTCCTCTAGAAATACGGTCGAGTTGCAAACAGAAGAACGAAACGCACGCGAGGGATCCTACGACGGAAGAGACGAAAGAGGATGCCTCTTCAAAGGAACCGCTGAAGGCGAACGCAAGGAGTACAGTTGTTACAAAATACTTCCTACGAAGTCAGAACAATCGTAAAGATACTGTGTGACACAATAACGTGATTTAAGTTTATTAATAGTTATATTAGTACAAACATTAACCCTCGGGAGTGTATCGAACGGTTCAGGTTTATATTAACATTATAAATGATAGTAATGACGTAGAGACAACGCGCCAATCAGAAGCTAGTGTGGCACGCCCACAACCCGCCTTCTTTTAGAGTTCACGCCTCCAGACATGGCGAAAATATAACAAAGCTAGCGCCAGTGCCGAACCGGCTGTTTTATTGTGATATGTGTTTAAATGTTATTAAATATATAGTAAAATTGAACGTTGTTTACAGGGCCAGCTATATATGAAAAGGATAGATGTTGTTTTTACATGTTCATCGCGTCTTCGCTCACATTAAAATTATCGTTTGTGGATAATTCACTTGTCAATTTTTACTGCATTTCTCAGCAAAAATGGACGGGCTAAAATATTTCAGATCACTTCGAAAATAACAGAAGGGATACTTGATGATATGAAGTTTACGAGGGAAGTGAGGCAAATTTGACAAGAAATGAAACGGGTCGTAAAATTTTGAACGAAACTGGCCATTTTCGCGGAAATTGGGCACATTGTATACAGTTCATAGGAGCCAGATCTGTGCGATACGGGTAAAGAAATGGACGTACTAGGAGGTAATAATATCACATGATATTTATCTTATTTGACTACAAATGTTTTGTTATTTCCAAAAATAGTGAGGCAAATTTTGTAACAGCGATTGAACTGGCTTATATTTACCAAAAATGGCGCTCCCCTATACTATTCGTATTCTATAGTAGCGTTTCGGCCATTTTGTTTTTTAAAGTTCGCACATGCTCAGTGCAAATGCATGTCTTGAATTTCTGGCCATGCGTCCAAAAATGGTGCTGATGACGTAAGGCGAAACCATGCAGGTTAGCCAGGGCTGTTCGGCAAATATATTAGTAATCAGTGAAAACTGAACATGTTATAATATCTCAGCCAATGATTATTATTCATTTATATTACTTAAATACAGTTATACAGCACATTTATTTACAGTATATGTAGCTATGATACAATAACATAAAAAGTTTATAAAATGCTCGTATATACTTGGCGACTCCTATTTAATGTCTGTTTCTAAATGCAAAATCTACGCCATGAAAATTTAATCAAAAGTTAGTTAAGATAAAATGTTTCAACCTCCTCAGGTGTGAATCGATATGTGCTGGCAAGAAGATTCCTCGCCTTGGTTGAGCTGTAGGAATACCCGCTTGGTGACTGATAGGAATAGCCAAAATCTGTGTAGGAACCAGTATTTGCATTGGCATTATTTGCAATATGAATAACATGACCACCACCAAATGTGGAACCATAAGTTGGTGAACTGTATATAGCATGTTGATTGCTTTTGACAGGAGATTTGAAGGGTGGCAGGTTGTCCTTATTCACGAAGGAGAAGATAAATGCATTGGAACTACTTTTGTAACTTGCCGAACCTAAGGGAAAATGAGAAATAAAGAAAGTTGAAACCTGAAATGTATTGAAATATCTAAACTATATACAATATCTCAGTCTTACACTTTTCTTGCCACGGACAGCCACTGGTCAAAATTCGAGTTAGAAATTAATTTAAAATTAATTTAAAATTGAATAAAAGGGATTTTCACCGATTTCATACGGGGAAATGTTAATCCATGTTGGTTGTAATTTCGAGTTAATTCTACGGATCACAATGTTTCAAGAAAAAAGGGAGATCGATAAAATTCTGTGAGAAGGCTTGATGCGTAATTTTCATTTTTATATTGCTTGAATCGTACAGCAAAGGAGCAACTTTTTAAATTTTTGGTAACTTTAAACAACTTTTTTGCCATTTTTTCGAGCAATTTTTACAAATCAAAATTTTTACAATTTTTTTTGTATCACAAATCACAATTTAAAATGGCCTACTTATGATATATAGATGTTACCAATTATATAAAGGTGCTCAATTGTCATTTTCATTATTGATAAAAGAAGAAACTTCGCCACATTATGAGAGGTACGGAACCAACCGAAATTCTATTAATATCATGCCAACTTCTAAAAAACGATTCGACACACAAGTTTCTATTGTGCTAGAACACCACTTTCTAAAATATTCTATTCGTTGCAGCATAAATTCAACTGTAAGAGTTCATTAGTCGGAAAATGGAAGAAATTGTTGAGGTCATGCAAATTGGTTGGCGAGGGATATTGTTGAAATTCTGTATCCACCTCAACAATTAATTGGTAACACTCGCCATTCGGACCTCGTTTTAACTCAGTTTTTCTCTTCTATTTATACATGTTAAAACTGTTGGATACTGCGCACACGGGATGCGGTTGAAACTAATGTAGACTTACAAAGATTAATTTTAATATTAATGTCCTCACCGACTGTGTTTTTATTTAACAATTATTGAATGAGATTGAGCACGATATGAAAAACTATCAAGCCTGAAGTTTGCCGTTATCAACGGAAGCCGAAGGCTGAGGTTGATAACGGCAAACTGAGGGCTTGATAATTCTTCACATTGTTCGAAAACCGAATTCAATAATTGTTTTATTATTTACTTTAAAAAATCAAGACAAACATTTGTACTTTATTTGTATAAAAAAAAAAAATAGTGGAGGTCAAATTCTTGGGGAGGGATATATTTGGTATCCATCTCAACAATTCATTGGTACACCTCGCCATTCGGACCTCCTTTCTAGTGTGTTTTTCTCTATAATTTATACATATTAAAATTGTTGGATAGAGGGTACGCGGGATGCGGTTGAAACGAATTAATATTTGCGGATATTAAGTTTAATAAATTTTAACCTCATACCAATGCGCAATGTACAACAATTTTAACAGTTGTCGAAGCAGGACAAAACCAAAATTTAAACGAGGTTCGATTAATGTCGAGGGTTGACGTGGTTAACAATATATTGGAAATTTCGGAGCCGGTTGTATAAAAAAGTGATTAAAATTAGCTATAGTTAGTGGAAACGCCATCTAATTGGAAGCGTGTATTTGAGAGTTATATAATCACCATTTAACTACAAAATAGTGATTAAAAAAGTGATTAAGAGTTTTATACAACCGGACCCAGGTCTGTCCAATGTAGAAATGCGATACCTATACCGGAAAAACCTGACCTTAAAATGTTTGTTTTGCTTTTCGCCGTACTAATATGTTTGCGGCTTGTAATTATGAACATTTACAGATCTAGGCAGAGTCTTGTATACTTTAGCGTTCGATTCAGGACTGTAATTCAAAGTGTACTATAAAGCTTTCAAAAAACGATTCGACACTCTAAAATATTCTATTCGTTGCAGTATAAATTCAACTATACAAGAGTTTATTAGTGGAGAATGGAAGAAATAGTCGAGGTCAAGTTGGTTGGCGAGGGGTATTACATGTTTGTTGAAATTCTGCATCCATCTCAACAATTAATTGGTAACCCTTGCCATTCGGACCTCGTTTTAACTGTGTTTTTCTCTTCTATTTATACATACTAAAATTGTTGCATACTGCGCACGCGGGATGCGATGGAAACTAAAGGCCGTTTTCAATTAACGTTCGCTTTGCCCGCGCGGGCGAAGCGTTCATTGTTTTTGACGCCTGTCCGCCTGTCCGCCTGCGTAAACGGATTTTCAAAGCCCGCTCAGCCTGCGCGGGAAAAGCTACTGCAATGGAAACCGGTTTTAATGTAAACTTCCCGATATTAATTTTAATAATAATTAAATTTTATCCAGATGCATAACATGGGCATGCGCAGTAAGAAACAATTCTAACAGGTATGAAAGAAATAGAAAGCAAAAATTAAAAAAGGGTGGAATGATAGGGGTTGACGGTTAACAAATCGACATTGAAATCCATATATGGTCAAATGTAGTACCGCCAGCCATTAAGCTTCATCTCAAAATATTTGTTTGCTTTTCACTGAGCTAATATACAGTCATTTAACATTGCAATTTCAAACATTATTATTTTACAGTTGAAGGCAAAGTCTTCTACAGCATATATTAATGGTCTTCCAATTATGACTGTGGTTTAAAGTGTACTGTCAAGGTCTAAATAAAACGATTCGAAACTTAAGTTTGTTCGGTATTAAGACACCAATTGTAACATTTTTATCATCGCTGCCTTGTAGAATCAAGTGTAAGAGTTCATTACGCAGGAAAATAAAAGAAATGACCGAAGTCAGATAGGTCCATGAAGGGTATTACATGTTTGTCGAAATGCTGAGTGTGCATATCAACATTTAATTTATTGGTAACCCTCGTGGTACGAAACCCTCACCATGGAATCCTCGGCATTCAGGTCTCGCTTTAATTCCGTTTCCCCTTAGCTCTATTTATAAGATTAATACATCTTAAAATTGGTCGATACTCCGCACAAAGGAGGCGGTTGGAACTAAGATTTGTTGATAACCTCATCCCAGATGCGAAATGTGCAGCAAATTTTAACAGGTATAAAAGGGGAAGAAAAGCTCAATTGAAACGAGGTCCGAATGGTGAGGGTTATCAATTTAACATTCAGATCTAAATAAGGTCAAAATTTAGTACCCCTCGTCAAGAAACTTGACCTCGAATTTTTAAATTCTTTTGCTTTTCCGCGCACTGACATATTTAGCTTTGTAATTTCGAATATCTACAGATCAGGACAAATTATTTTATACTTTGCATTCATGGCCATTTTACCCAATTAAGAAACCAATTTCAAAAATTCGCCGGCAAATAGAAGAAATAATACAGGTCAAATTGTTTGGCGAGGCACATTAAGTATCCATCTCAAGAACTAACTGGTACACCTCGCCATTCGGACTTCCCTTCAAGTGTGTTTTTTTCTTTTATTGATACATATTAAAATTGTTCGATACAGCGCACGCGGGATGGCGTTGAAATTAATTAAAATTTGCCGATATTAAGTTTAAATGATAAATTTTAACCTCATACCCAATACCCATGCGTAGTGTACATTAATTTTGACACTGCTGTCGAAGCAAGAGAAAACAAAATTTAAACGAGGTTCCATTAATGTCGAGGGTTGACGGTTGTCAATTGGAAATTCAGATCTGTCCAATGTAGAAATGCGATACCTATACCTAGGATGGACTTCAATGATCTGTTTTCTTGCACTTCACTTGGTGGTATTAATATTTGAATTCTGTTCTTAGGGTTTGTAATCCAAGTGAGTATATATATATATATATATATATATATATATATATATATATATATATATATATATATATATATATATATATATATATATATATATATATATATATATATATATATATATATATATATATATATATATATATATATTATATTGCTCTACGGCCTTTGTGTCATATTGAGCACTCAACAGGATGAGCCATTGCTGCTTACGCATTGTGCGCATGCTCACTGCTTGCAGTTTGAGCACTCTGGCAATGGTTTGATGTCCCACATTCGTGTGACATCAAAGGTAACTATTTATAGTGGTTAGTTTCATCCTGCTCATCAGCACTACACTGATGAGGCCCAAAAGGCCGAAACGGTACCGTCTGTAGTTAGATATTGCTCTATGGCCTTTGTGTCATATTGAGCACTCTACAGGATGAGCCATTGCTGCTTACGCATTGTGCGCATGCTCACTGCTCGCAGTTTGAGCACTCTGGCAATGGTTTGATGTCCCACATTCGTGAGACATCAAAGGTAACTACTTATAGTGGTTACTGATGAGGCCCAAAAGGCCGAAACGGTACCGTCTGTAGTTATATATATATATATATATGGGTAGTAGAATGTACCGAAGAATACAACTGCGGGCAGCTGTTGTTGTTGGTTGTTTTTTTTTGGGGGGGGGGGCATTTTTCATAAATTGCGGCTAGCGATAATTCATTATCACTAGCCGCAATTTATGGAAAATAGCCCCCCCCCCCAACAAAAAAAAAACAAAAAAAAACAACAACAGCTGCCCGTAGTTGTATTCTTCGGTACCTACTACTACCCACACTAGCTAGGACCGAATGTTTAAAATTTTATCATCAACGAACGTTTGGTTCTGGATGAAAGAGGTGTACAAAGAAATCAAAATGTTTCTAATTTTAATTAAGAAATATTTTCTTAAATTAAAGATTGCTTTCTTAATAAATTATTTAATTTTTTGTATAGCCATGCAGACACAAACAGAATTAAGTCAGGACATGGAAGTGTTTGAGAAAGCTGTAAATAGTAAGGCGTTACAGCAAAATAAAATTTAAAAGTAAAAGTACTATACTAATACTACAAATGATAACGTCAGTCAGTTCGCGCTCGTCTATATTTGCAGAAGATGGAATTTATAACAACGTCTTAAAACGGAAATAAAAATATATAAAAATGTACTGTGCAGTTTTTTCGCTTAGTATGTTAAATAACATATATGCACATAATTATTAATATATATGCACTATCTTAATCTAGATGGTTTAATTACATGAAGTAAACGTTTCTCCTTCAGGATCAAACTCTTGTGGAGAATGTATAGTAGCTCTTAATTAAACAGTTATATTATTATACATACTCTATCATATCATATCATGTCATGCCATGTCAAAAACTGAATTAGTAGATCATTAACTACAAAGATCCGATTATAATACATTATGTACGTTAGTCCGCATGGAAGGACTTGTGTTAAGATTGAGCACGTGCATTCCCTGAATATTCCCTTAAACATTATTATCAGGTAGATCCCGAACCTTCAAGATCCTCTTTTATTTTGAGTTCTAACTCATCAAGGACCTCCGCCAGATGTTCCGTCAGCTCGTAGTCGCCAAGAAGGTCATATGAGCTGTCATCCTGCATAGATGCGTGGAAATGTAAGAGGCAACTCAAGCTTACCGTACTTAATGCAGTCTAATGTATATTCAGAAAAAGAGTCGAAAGGCCACCGATATGCTCTTTTTTGACACACATTTTGGCGCTTTGACAAACTCGCCAAGGTGACCTCTTTTGAATTGGTGAAATAGCACCCTATAGGATCAGTTTTTTCCACGACTTTTGAGTACTCTTCTTCAAATTCCTATAAAATTTAAGTATAAAATGTCCATAAACAACGAATGTTATTCTTTTCAGCGCCACTGGAAAAAAGATACATATATGTATACCGTAGTGCATCAATAAAGTACGATGTAAAGATCGCGCTGAGGCCGAACGTAGGCTAAATGTATCCATGTAATGACTTTAATGAAGCAGCCATTTAATTGAATAAGCAGCAAAACAGTTATGTCTTCATGTGAAAATACATTTTTACGCTTTAGCATCTTAGTCTCTCTTTCAGTCACACTCGCGAGGTCTAACTTTCTTATAAATGAGTGGGAAGAAAGTGAATATTCATGTTCATATTTAGTACATACTGCATGCGAAATATCTGCAAAACCATCCACAACACTTTTGACGATTGCCACTGCTTTGACCTTCTCGCCATGTCGATTCTTCACGAAACATGTCGCAGGAGTTAACCATCCAAGAGCCTTAGGAAAGTAATAAATTACATTTAAAGTGCAACTATTCATACACAAAACAAACTAGATGTGTAATAAATACACTTCTATTCGCGTGGTTAATACACTTCTGTTTGGTGGTGAATAATACATTTAATAACTTGATCACTATGAAATGGCCACCATCTAAATTGAAACAAGGCGTATTTTGGACATGATTTGAGATATTGGGGGGTCTTAATTATGCGAGCAAATGAGTCTTATATTAATATCAATTTAATTTATATTAATTTCAGAGATACCCGACACTATAGTATTACACCTTAATAGTTTCACTAGCCATGACTATTAATTTTCACAATTCAACCACCATCTACTTACGTGTTCTTTGTTGTCTTCTATTTTCAACTGGATGTTTCTTTCTAATTTATCCGTGGCACTTAGGGTACAGACTCTTTGCTGCAGGACTGTTTGTTTAAGGATATACCTCACCGTCTGTTTAGTCATGCCCTCCTCCCCAATAGATAACCGGATTTTCAAAGATTACAGTAATGCTAATTAAGATAACATGTTAAGTGAACGTAATTAAGTACGTAGTAATAATTATATAGGGCTTTTATTAATCAACTGGATGGTTAACGCATGAAACCCACTTTGACTTCGTTTTCCTCTCTTCTAAATGATGTGAAGCAATATTGGCGTAAATTGTTTCTTACTGAAATAAAAAATGGAAATACTAAATAATTGACATATAAAGTGACATGATTTACCAAAGTGTTGGCCAGGACAACAGCTGATAATCCCTTCGTAAATCGGTCCTGTTCATCTGGAATTAAACCTGCCATACACTCTTCCAGGACCTTCTCAAGCGCTCGAATGGGATCTTTGGATGACACTCTCCAAAATTCCATATATTTGATTGCCCATGCCATTAATATACCCTAGGTCAGTAAAATATACGTGTGCGTAATGAGAAATACACGATATTATTATCAAGTGATTAACAGTTTATTCCACGCCCAAATTTCGAAATTCTTAGGCCAGAAAATCTTATACAGTTGAAACTCGAGAACACGGGGGCTGACTTTTAGTAATTTTTTAAGGCTGGGGGGGAGGGTCGCGCCCAAACCTCCCTATTTTTTGTGCGCCCTTGCTTGTTATCCCAAGCAATAGTATCAAGCTTACCTTGTTTTCTTCTATAAATGGAGAAGATTGTTGTGCAACAAGTCCTTATCATACGCCGGGCGGTTAATTATTGGCCCAGGGTAGTTAAACCGGACTACTCTACCAATAAGTCTACATAAAATAAAAAGTCAAAATTTAAAAGTTTACATCAACCGACCACCCTGAACAAATTAATTATGAAAAATGGCATCTGAAAGACGCTACATCCGTACACGATTGACAAAACGCATGGTTGCATATAAATACTGTATGCTATGTACTGTATGCTAATGATTAAAAAATCCAATTAACTAAAACGGCTTCAAATCTGTGGAAGCTGCAACGCAATTGTTGGTAAAGTAATTAATGTACCTTGGAAGTTCTTCAGAGTTAATTGGATGTCATCAAGACTGCAGCTTTTGGTGCACTCATCCCTTCCTTGCTTGATCCAGCAAGCAAGCAAGCCTCCCTGAACTTGCAGAAAAAATTCAGTGAACATTTTACTAATTGTTGGGTCTTCAATCATGACAACCCCTGTTGTTTTTGACAGACTTTCCTGAATCTTTTTCCTTGATAGAAAAACAAAACGTACACTTGTTACAATTTCCTGGTTAACCTACAAATAACCCTATAAGAAATCAGGCCCCCCCCCCCCTTGCATGGTTATCTATCCACCTAACACGTCAAATACAGAAAATCCAGATTCCTGGCTAATTAAATTAAATTAAATTAACCAGACTATGGTAAGAAGTGAGATAAAATTTAGCCTGCAGGAAATTTATTCAGGAATCAATCAGGTTAACCCAAATAGTGTTTTTCTAGATTAACCAGGCATTTTTTAACTTAGCTGAGAGTTTCTATAGTGCAGCTATATACTGCATCTTCTAATACATTTTTCAGGATATGTGTAAAAAGTCATGTAGTAAAACATTATTCATCTACATAGCCTCTTCCTTGTGCCATAAATCCTATATGCACGAAAGTGTGTAAGTTATATACTAAGACTTATTACAGACATGGAAGTTCCACACATCATTTGGTTGCCTCCGCTCAAAAACATCATATGAACTCGGTCTGGTATCCCTTGCCCGAGCCCAAGGATGAATAGGCTCAATGACTTTCCAACACACTTCGTTTCGGAGAAAATCATTCCCACATTACTTTTGGCTAGAAAATTAACATACATTCTACATTGGTTGAACGGCACGACGGCATACTATGAATGCCAAGCTACAGACAGTGGTCACTATAGATATATTTATTTACATCTTGACATGGTGATCTGGGACTAATTACGAAACCCACCTGTTGTATGGTTTGGAGTTGGAATGATTATTCACTCATGCCTCGCCTATAATCATGAATCGAGGGCTCGAGGCTGCATGTTTTGAGTATAAAATATAGTATAATGCTTCGTAAATCACTAAATGAAACCAAATTAACCAGGGCTAAACGTAACCAAATGAGGTAAATTAACCAGTAGGTAAATTAACCATGTCATTGCATGCACATGGAACAGTAAAATAGTGGATGTAGACAATGACGAAAAAATAAAAGTTGTTTCGAAAATGATTTAAAAATTGACCACGTACTAGCTCCATGTTATTCCTCGACATGCAACTTTTTGTCTGTATATATGTATATACACTTACTCCAGACATCCTTAGGGGCCAAAGCATTCCTAATGATGCGTCCAACAGTAAACGCCGTTGCCATCTGAAATGCAACAGTCTTTTGCCCAAATCCAATTGACATCGAATAAAATCTGTTATAAAAATATAAAATTATTGAAATAGCTTATAATATTGCATCAAACCTTTCCGTTTCAGTCGTTATCATCCAGGCTAAACTATTTCTTTGGAAACATTTTGCTCACCAACCGTAAATTCTAAAACTGCATGGTTACCGATTCGACTGAAAACTGCATGGCTATACCATAATTTGGGATAATTGTTTTATATTTCCTGCATTACAAGGTAACAAGACTAATAAACAATATATACATGACAGAGTCAGTAACCATTGTTGCAGTAAGTTGATATATACCTTTGCAAAAATTTTTTCAGATACCGAATATCAAAAAGGCTCTCCCCAATTTCCAACTGGTAGGGCTGCAAGGTATCATCCGTCATGATATATCTTATTTCGCTTTCACCGATTATGTTCCCATGACTTACGTGTACCTAAAAAAACAATATGCTTGGTTCAGATTATGACATCCAACAATATCCACAAAACTAATGGTGATTTGCATTGCTTTTAGATTAATTATATACCAAAACGTTTTTATAATGTATGCACATTCTGTGCGTGGTATTAGTTTGTATGTATCACAACATTTATCATTCTATCATTTTATTTTCCACATCGTTTTTTCTCTCTTTAATGATCTGCACATATGTTCTCCTATGAAGTTAATTATATAACGATTAATGGTTATTTGAGGCAAACATCCGTACTGTAAAAGAATGTATCTTACATCGTTGGAGATAATCCAGTAGTTATCACTCTGATATCCCATACATTCAGGCTCGAAGTATTGGCGTGCCATCTCATTTTTCTCGTAGTCCTCTTTGAGATAGGTGTAGTAGACCAGTACTATGAACGAGGAAACTTTCATTCCGAGTAAAAATGTGCCAGAATCATACGCTATTCTTAGCGAGTCTTTAAAGCGCTGCTTTGAGTCAAAAGCGTCGACATTCATCACAATAGTTCTGCAAGACAGAAATATTAATCGAAGTTTTGTTTAGTAAAATATTTGAATATTTATCAGTCTTGCCTCTCGAACTTTTGGTGGCATGAAGCCAATGCCCGCTTATACAAGGTGTATAAAAAAGACTGAACAGTTTTGCAATTTCGCAAAACAGCTATTAGTATCCACTTTTTGATATAGCTTCTTTGGGTACTTATAATGTAGAATAATGAAAAAATTCTCGACCTCAAATTTTGTAAACCAAGGGGTCTTTTTCCAACAAACTAAAAATGGCTTGCGCACCAGATCTAAAAGTTTTAACGCAAACTTACATTTTTTCCCAGAAATAAGCTTTTGCATGCTTAATAGACGTTTATAAAAAGGTTGACGTCAGCAGGCTTGTGACGTAGTTTGCGGAAGAAATCCCGAAAGCTCAGAGTTGTTTACTTGTTTTGAGTTTTTTTTAAAGCCAATAGAAGCCAGTATTATGGTAAGTTTGAAGTAAATTTTTCTATATATAGGCCAAATGAGTTTTCATATTCGTCTTAGTTTTAAATTTTAATTGATTTTTATATGTTAGATTGTACATTATTTTACTGTCAACATTTAGCAAATTGTTCGCTCGGTTTGTTTACATATATTTCGTTGCTAAAAAGTATAATTTTTCCTTTTTGTTTCTCAAATTCATCAGTCTAAACATCAAAATGGCCCCATCAAGCTATAGACAGCAATGCACGGGCTCAGTGATCATGCAAAGAGCTCGAGGTCTTATTGTCATAAGTGAACTTAGACTCTGAGTACAACTTGTACACAATATTGCTTCGTATTACGACTGATAAGTCTATTATTTTTATCGATATAGTTGACAGAAAAGGACATACAGTACCCTGGTCAAATATTGAAAAATCTACCAAAAATAACTTAAAATTTCGGCTGAAGTATAGAGATTTAAAGGTGATCTACAGTCCGATCTGCGCATGTGCACGAAGGAGCCCACTTTTTATGATACAAACAGTTTAGCTATGTTTTGGGTTCTTGCAAAACCTGATTGTTGTTTCTTGATCATTTATTATACTCTAGAAGCTTGAAAATATAAATAGTTGTCGAATAAAGCTCAATATTTTGGACGCAAAAATGTAAACAAAGGCTTTGTTTACATACGGACTGTAGATCACCTTTAAAGTTTAAATCTTCAGAAACGAAAGCGGAGCTGTTTACACTGATGAATTTGAGAAACAGAAAAGAAAACCGCGCGAACAATTTGCTAAATGTTCATGACAGTGAAATAATGTACAATCTGATATAAAAACAAATAAAATTTATACGACGAATATGAAAACTCATTTGGCCTATATATATGGAAAAAAATTGCTTCAAACTTACCATAATACTGGCTTCTTTTGGCTTTAAAAAAATTCAAAACAAGTAAACAACTCTGAGCTTTCGGGATTTCCTCCGCAAACTACGCGTCACAAGCACCGCGTCACAAGCCTGTTGACGTCAACCTTTTTATAAAGGTCTATTATGCCTTTATTTTGCCTATATTTATGCCTATATTTATATTGTTTGATATTCATCCTTTATTATGTTTCTGTAAGCATATTGCAATTCACCTTCGGGTGCCAAAATGTGTTTCTTAATAAACCTTTAACCTTTAACAATATGGATTTCTATGGATATATATATATAACTACAAACAGAACAAAACCACTTCCTAACATATAAAAATGCGGACGTATTTGGTTCTGACTATGGTATATTAAGGGGCCGACCATTAAACTTTTGAGGGAGGGGGTGGGTGATTTTGAAAAAAAATTTCTTGCAAGGCTATTCTGAACAAAAAAAATACCTGCACTAACAAACTGGGGAAAAAAATATCCTGCCCCAGTATTTGGTGGGGGAAAAAATGTTGCAAAACAGTGTGGTTGTTGCAGGGATCGATCTGACCAGTCCGAGAAGATCAGCTGGTTTTATTTTCAGGGACTAGTGTAAGGTTAATTTCTTGTTGGAAAACTCCTCAAAATGCTGGAAATAGCTTATCTGAGCTTCAAAAAATCCAAAATTTTCTGGGGGGCATGCCCCCAGACCCCTCTAGAGGCTCGCACCTTCGGTGGTCGACTCAGTTGTCTCAGAGTCCTAGTTAAGCATGGCCTGAGCTGCTGCCCTATGACGTATACTTATTAGTTAAACCATGCATATATATGCTGTAGGTAGCCGCAGTGATACAGACAGGGCTGTAGCGAGGGGGGGGGGTTAACCCCCCATCTTTTTAGAATCAACATATTCAGAAAATCGGGTTGGCAATTCGGAAAATTACGGCAATAATAGTAGAACAAAATTTTAGTTGTTAAACAGAGAAAATATTATAAAATTGTAGTATTGTCACTATAAATTGTAAGCAAATTGTAAATTTCGACATAAAAACTTCCCCGAAGTCCAGGAAATGGCATTTCAGAAACTCGAAATTTAAAAATTTCCTTGGGCTTCCGCCCCTCGTTTTCTGCCCCCAATAAACAAAAGCTCCTTACCGCACTGCTTCTGTCATATGTCTGTGCGTAAAATATGCGTATTTTTGTTTGTAAATTGCGCCTTCATTTTCCGAATAGCGAACACCTTCGTGGCTTACTATGCCATGATATATTCGGAAATTATTTTCGTTCAACGTTAACTATAATTAAAGAATCTAAATAGTATAAGCTATTGAAAAACAATGCTGCGAAAGAATGTGTGCCAAAAAAAAAATCGTACATGGTGATGGGATAAAAAAAAATATCTTGCACATAACGATCCCAGGAAAAAAATTCCCTGCCAGCAGTGAATCACCCACCCTCTCCCTCAAAAGTTAAAAGGTCGGCCCCTAACCTCATTAAGCCTGGGATTAAAATGCGCTTTACTTTCAACCAGGTGCGTATTAATTTGTAATCGGCGATGCCAGCATATAGCTATACGTGTGGTCAGTTTCCGGCATTACAGCCGCATGCGGAGTTTGAGTTTTGCCTTTTGGTCGTGTGTCGTGGGTAAAAAGTCGTGCGTCGTGGGTAAAAAAGTCGTGCGTAAGCTAGAGTGGGTCGAAAAATGTTCTAAATTTCCATTTTTTGCTCAGACGCTGCTTTTGCTAAAATAATTTATTGCTTTTTCTGTAAGCAATCAAATGCCAAACTGAATATTTAACAGAAATTCTTCATATTAATTAATACTTCAAACTAAAGTCAAGAACGCAGCAGGGCATGGCCAGGAATTAAAGGAAACCTTAATTACAATGCTTAAAACACCTAGTATTGCTTAGTAATCCGACAAAAAACATGCATGAACACCTAGTAATCCGACACAAAGTTCATATTAATCTGTCCAACAAGCGTTATATGTCTTGCATATAACAATGACATTTAGTTCGACGCTAATTTTAATACAAGTATGGTATCATATTTCATAATATAACAAACAATGTAAACTAGCCATACATTTTGCCCAACATAACTGCGGCCCCTTTGGACTCTTTTTCGTAATAATATATTATTGGAACCAGAATCGAAAACACTATTTATAGTTATAATATGATATTTGTGGTGTTAATCTGAGTGTATATCCACACCGGCCGAGCTTGAAAAATATGCCCGGCCACGGTGGGATTCGAACCTACGACCTTTGGAATACTAGCCCAATGCTCTTCCAACTGAGCTACGCGGTCAGGACCAGGGCCTCTTTTAAGGATATGTAACTGGGTGGGACATCTTTCCCAAGGGACCAAAAATAACGTAAAAAGGGGACCTGAAAAAAATCTACTAAAGTCTATAAAATTGCGGCTACTAGCTTAAATATGGGTTTCGCTCGAGGGCAGCAGATGATGGTCAAATTTAGAAAATAATGTCAAGTTGTCAACACACCTTTTTCTCACTTATATATAATTGCCAGGCAGCTAGTGAAACTCATCTGTACAGTATACCACTATATACATGTAATCTATCAATAAGCAGTCCGATGTAAAAAACTTCTTTACGAAGTCACGTTCCGCATATGAACTCAGATTAGGAAGATTCATTCGCCTCTGTTTTTTCTGTAGAAATTCTTGCACCATAGGACTGGGGTCAAACTGAGATGTTGGCACTCCATTCCAGTGAATCAATAGCCTATCATTCAATGTTTTTTCAGATGTGGCCATTCTCAGGTTGGAGAATAACATGTTGTACGTTGACACACATCTTTCCACCGTCATACTGTGAGGGCAGAGAACACAAAAACCTGACAAAAACTTGGTCACAGGTTGTTTGCTGCCCCTTAGCATTTGGTAGAGTCTCACACACTCTCTTGCAGGAATATGTGTATCAGAAAGCATTTCCGTAAAATTTTCTAAAACTGCATCAATAAATGCTTGTTTATTACTGATTCCACATGATTCAAGTTGAGGTAATGCAATGTTGATGAATTCAATTGCACGTTTTGCTGAGGTCAAGTTGATAATGGTTGTTACAATTTCTGTTTGTTCCTCGTTGAGCCTGGTCTAAACATGATAATGATATACATAAAAAATATAGGTAATAGTAATTAAAATCTTTATATGGTGTGACCTGATTGCTAAACAGATATGAGATTACCTATTTATCTCATTTTACCTGGAGAAAATTCCTTGAAGAATCAATAACCTCTTGCCTGATAGGTTGTTTTCCTCTACGAAACGTTGTCACATTGGTGTTGTGTGTCCTTCTTGGTGTATTATCCACTGCTTCATCATTCTCTGGATGCAGTTCTGCAATCTTCTTTGTTAATAACTCCTCCTGCTCACCTATGTGCAGTAAAATAACATAAAATGTAATGAATAATACACCTTTGTTAAAGAACTCAAATAAGAGTGAGTTCAATTTGTTTTCTATAAACAAAGTAACTTACTAACTATATATATTTTACCTGGATATGGCTCTGTTTGCATTATATCAAGTTTTTGCAAGGCAGTATCTCTGTACTTCAAGATATCAGGAATGATAATGCCAGGCTTCTGGGCTTCTTTTTCAATATATCTGAAGATACAGCATGTGTCCACCATAAGCCATGCTTGCACTCCTGTTGGTTGCCACAACTTTAAAAATCCTTTTGCAGACGATACCTCCTTGGTATTATATTCTCGAGGAGCATCACAAATCTTTTGCCAGTGCTTTAAACATCCATCTAAATTGAATAGTATCGCTCCACAAAGTTGAACAAGATGTTGAGCAAACCTTACCTCATGATGAGGAGGAAAACTTCTCATGTCTGGTTTTATGGTCTTCAACTCCTTAGTCTTTAGGCCTGATGTGCGGTAATAAGTAGCTACTCCCGTTACATTGGAAAGCCAGATTTTCAGTTCAGGTACCAACCTAAGACATTATAATTATTATTTTATTATTATTAATTTATTATTATTATTACCTCATCACATCTTCCATTGCTAAGTCTGATCGGTGACATGCACACCAGATATTTCTTGTTGAACGACCAACATAATTTTCAACTCTAGCCCACAGTCCAGAATCCTTACCAGTGTTTGCAGACTCTCCATCGGTGCTCATCCCAACAAATTTTGACTGCAAACATTCTTTAGAAAGGCCCATGTCATCAAAACAGTTTGTCATGGCAGAACACAAACCTTCAGCACCACGCTTGGTACTTTCCCTTGCACTTGCAAATCTTGTCTTAATAGAAAGAGGGTCCTCGGGTGTATTGAATCGAACAAATATAAATTTCTTATCTTGTTGCCTAGCATCGACAGAACCATCCATTTGTGCAGCAAAACAAATACAGTTCTGGAGTTCTTCTTTAAGGTGTTTTCTCTCTGTATCTCCTATTATCTCCAACATTTCTGCATAATGCATTGGATCCCTATAATGAAGTTCCTCTCCACTTGGTTTAAACGGGGTAAAACTTTGTACGTTGTCACTGTCAGTTAAAGACCTAAACTGCTGTTGTGCATGTAAATTAGCAAGAGATCTACCTGGCCATGACCAGGCAGCTAAAGTCAAAGATTTACTGTCATTATAGACCTTTACTGCCATTTCAGTCAAGGTCTTCAAAACTGTTGGATCACTTTTTGTTGCCAAGTTAATAAATGGGTGACGTTTGTCTTTGGCATTCCACAACTTGGATAGCTGTTTCTTTTCTTGAGCTGCTCTATGTGAAGGCCCCAGTAGATGATCAATTACATCTTGTATCTTTTTCTTCCCATCACAACGCACACCTTGTGCCATGTACACTCTGCCATTAGCTGAAAAGCGCTTTGCTTCCTCTTCGAATTCACCACAGATGCAACACTTGACAAAAACCCTAGCTTTCTGGCGATTCTGCGTTGAAACTCTACTTCGTTCATAATATTGAGATAGTACACCATCTCCAAATTTTCCTAGAAGTGCTTTTAGGTTTAATGGGTAGCCTCTGTAATACTCAGTAGTGGTTTCAGTAGTCATTTGCGTTGACGATGTGTTTGCTGTGCTTATTGGCAAACCAACGTCACTTGTTGTAACCAAAGTAATGCTGTTTATATTTGCAGAGCTTGTTGACGATAAGGTCGAAGGTGTAGTATTGCTTGGAATATTATTCGAAGGAGCCCGTGTATGAACAAATTGAACATTACCTTCCCTATCTGAATTTCGAATATCAAAATCCACTTCATTCAGTTCATTGTCTTTACGAGGTTCTCCTTGGTCAGTGCCTCCAGTAGCTGCAGTGCCTTGTACTTCGCTTTCCACTTCAATTGGCGCCATATTTAATAATTGTTCTGACTCCTTCTCAACGTTTGTATCGCACGATGTCGATGACGATGTTCTTGCATTTTCGTTCTTTGTGAAGAAATCCGATACCTTTTTGCATTTACTCGCTTCTTGTTTTAACAGTTTTTCAATATTCGCTTTTCTTTTATTTGCATACGGCATTTTTAATACTAATAGTACAAACAAAGGCAAGCAATTTGCATGTAAATTTTGATGTAAATTATGTTTTTGAAATTCCCAACTAAGCTTCCCGAATATCCAGAGATTTCCCCCAAAATCCCAATGTTCCCACTTTCGTTCCCAGTCCCACTTTGAAAAATATTTTTTTGCAGATCGAAATTTCCTATTTGACTATTTTTCTATTTTTCATTGTCCAGAAAGGGAAGGCAAAGGAATAGCAGAGATTCTGCGAAAGGAATACTGGAATAAGGATTAATTATGTTGTCCAATATTGACTTTGGGAGTTATTTTCACACCAAAAAATATGAAAAGGGACTTTCTACTGGGGGGGACAAAATTGCCGACTGGGGGGGCAGTAAGGGGGGCTGGGGGGGCCATGTCCCCCCCAGTCTTTATGTTAAAAGAGGCCCTGGTCAGGACGGTTCGAGTAAGTGATAATTTCGGAACAGAATCTATATAGTTCCTTCGATACGAATGTATTCTAGTAGTATGAATTTTTCTGTGTTGGTGTGGATATACACTCAGAGTAACACCACAAATATCATATTCACCTGAGTACACTACACCAACACAGAAAAATTCATACTACTAGAATACATTCGTATCGAAGGAACTAGATTCTGTTCCGAAATATCACTCACTAGAACCGTCCTGACCGCGTAGCTCAGTTGGAAGAGCATTGGGCTAGTATTCCAAAGGTCGTAGGTTCGAATCCCACCGTGGCCGGGCATATTTTTCAAGCTCGCCCGGTGTGGATATACACTCAGAGTAACACCACAAATATCATATTCACCTGAGTACACTACACCAACACAGAAAAATTCATACTATTTATAGTGTTATTTTCAAGCTTGTGCCTTGGGATTTTCATCTTTTATTTCGGTATGTACAGAATATTTATATTTTTAGCGCGGCGATTAGGACAAACAGGTGTCCCAGGAATTCCCCCCCCCCAAGGGGGGCCAAATTTCCTAGGAAATATGCCCCCCCCCCCCTTCGGAAATTTGGCCCCCTCGAAAACATAGTTTACTTTATCGCTATAAGCTCGGAAATCGTGAAGCTTCTTCAAAAACCAAGATCCTAAAAGTGTTTGTCAGTATTTATAGTTGGTTGGCATAATTTATTTGTGTCGAAATTCTTCATTGCGGCCAAGAACTAAAAGCTTGAAGGAAAGCGTAATAATAATAATGTTCTAGTGCAGTCATGCCAGACACATCACACATGGGTATCTGTTGAGGACAACGTTAAAGCATAATGGCTTAGCTTTAAGCTAAGGACACGAAACGATTTTTAACCATAGGAATTTCTAAGATATTACAAGTTATTTGGATCTATAAAATTCAGTCACATAGTAATAGTATAAAATTAGTTAGAATAACAACTGCACTTTAGCAAACGATGACATCATGCGTTGGGGAATATGTTAATATGCACGCGTTTAATAAATAACAAGGAGTAATTACCATTAGGGTAAAAGTAGACTTTTATTAAGTGGAAACTTTTGTTCGAAAAACAAAATCAAATGAGTGGTTATTTCGTAAAAAAAATTTTCCTATGCATTTTACTTACATATAAACAGTATATAAATAATCGCTCATATGATTGGGATGCATTACAGAAGCATTCCGTAAAAACGGAAGTAGACTGTATGCTTGATGGCTCACAAAAACATTCCGCACACAGAAAAGCACAAAGGTTTGAATGACTGACAAAACATTCCGCAAACACAAAAGCACAAGATTTGGATGACTCACAAAAACATTCCGCAAACAGGCAAAAAAACTACAAAGGTTACATACAGCAACATATAATCCGTCAGTATTGTAAGCAATTCTCTTGGCCTAATTCTCGTCAGTTTGCAATTCAGTGCAGAACTTGTTTTGACACAAAAACATTACGCAAACTAACTATAAATGTTGAGAAAAATTTCTAGAAATTTGGTTGTAGTAGAAGCTTCACGATTTTCGAGCTAGAAGATAAAGTAAACTATAATTTTTTAGAGGGGGCCAAATTTCTGAAGAGGGGGCCATATTTCCTCGGAAATATGGCCGGGGGGGGGCAAATTTCCTAGGAAATTTGGCCGCGGGGGGCAATTTTCGGGGGGGGGGATTTCCTGTGACACCGGAAATCGATTCTGTAGGTCGGCATGATTTGCACGTGCATCAATCGAGCTATAAACGTGCGTTCGAGTAATAACCCGATATTTTGAAAAATTCAAAATAAATATTCCTACTCTGTGCCGTATTCAAACGAAACTGTGTACATGAAAGCGCTTGAACACAAGATTTTTTTTTATAAGAGTTACTAAAGAATACTAAAGCAGGGTGCATTGCCTGTAAATGGGTTAATAAGAGACCAATGTCAAATGTGTTTGTTAACCCATTTACTGACAGTACTCTGCCACTAACAAGTAAAATCGTCTGGCGTTACAGTGTAAATTGGTCTGTCGTTAGCCAAAGTTAATACTAAAGTAGTGTACATTGTCAGCTAATAGACCTTAATATCCACTTTTGACCCAATGGCTTAATTTTCATGTTGGCTATTTACTCGTATTCCGTGCACACAATTTAAGAATGAGTTTGTGAACGGTCTTAAATGATGAACGAGAAGAAACATTGAGGATAAATCGACAATTGTCTGGAAGTATAAATTTTTGCATTCAGTTCATACGCACTTTCCTTGCGATAGTAACTCCTAGTTGTAGATTTGCACCATTACGTCTCCCGAAAAGGTTTTTTATTTTTTTTAAAAGTCCATAAAATTTGCTTGCGGTTTAAGATTTGTATTCCCGCCTTTTGCACCATAGCACGTATCTCGTTATTTTCAGGCCAGTGTGAACGCCTGAGCAGGCGTTTTGTTTATATTATATTGTGAACTAAATGTTATTGTATTAGGCAAATGAGAACCATCAACCATGCAATAAATGTCTTGGTATTTTGAATGCAAGCTTTATCTTTACTACTTGCTCGAACTCTAGTAGCTACTGCGCGAATTTTAATACATGTATTAAGGTATATTGTCGACATTTTGTAGGTGAAAAGAATTGGCTAGTTTACGTTGTTCATTATATTATGAAATATGATACTATAGTTAAAATTCGCGTCGAGCTAAATGTTATTGTATTAGACAAATGAGAACCATACAATAAATGTCTTAGTTCTTGTAGGTATTTTGAAGGCACGCTTTATCTTTAGTATAGCTACCACAAAGCGTTTGGCGCACCAACTAGTAGCTACTGCGCGAATTTTAATACATATATTAAGGTATATTGTCCATAGGCGTACGGGCACATTTTTTTCGGGGGGGCTGGGCTGAATTTGCCCGAATGACATGTCGTCATAGATTTCGTGACGTCATCATAAAATTATATAATCTAAGAAGACTACAAATGAAAGGCTTTCATTTGAAGATTGACGAACGTGATATAAAAAGAAATATGTCGTCCCCAGCCATTTCATTTATAAGCTAAGGTTATCATCGTCCTTGGTTGTCATGTTACTTTTTACAAAGAAAGTACTGATTTTTGACTGGGATGAATCCGATGATTCCATCACTGGATGACATTTTACTTTTTTACCATTGTGAACCAATCGAGAATGCACCTCTTTATAATCACTGTCGATTTCCTTATTGCATTCCTCGCACCGAACGCGATTGTCGGTACTGTCTTTTACGAGATGCCATACGTAATGATTGTAAAAAAAATCGCGCACTTTTATGTCTATCTAAAAGTCTAAAATTAGTCACATTATGTCATTGTACAGTATTTGTACGGTTACATCAATGTCAATTATAATGTAGTATCTATTTTCAGTGACTGCTGTGTCATAGCCGCGGTGCCGCCCAAGACCAGAGACTGTATTTACGCAACCAATGCTATCAAAGGAGATAAACAATACTGATCCGATTGTTACTACGCACTTACGATACCACACCTTCGCAAAAATGTGTAGCTATATACTATATAGTTATATAGTTTAATAGTTGTATAGCCTATACATTATGCTAGGTAAACTGATGAATATAGGCATGAATACAGTAGTGACATTTTATTAGTAGCCATACCAATTGTTCCTTCGTTGTTGGGTTACTTGGGGATTTACGTCTGTGGTATGTGCGTAACGTAAAAATGAAAACCAAATCCGGTTAAGTTAGAGCACTTGACCTTTAAATTAATAAAGGTTAACAAGATGCATGCGATCTATGGTATTAATAAATATACACAAACGTAGCCATTACAGATTTCCATTGCATGATTGAACCTTACGTAAAAGTTGAACTTGTTGAAATAATACTTCTGTTCCGCTTTATGGATCAATATATTTGTCTAATCACCAGACCGTCGTTGCCCGAATGACAAGACAATTTTTGCCCGAATAGATAAATTCTCAAAAATTTGGGGGGCTGCAGCCCCCCCCAGCCCCACCCTCCCGTACGCCTATGATATTGTCGACATTGTGTAGTGAAACTGTCAAACCTTTAACTTTTTCTTGTTTATAGCTATACGCGGAAAGGAAAGATCCTTATATCAATCATGATATAATATTTAAAAATGTTGGAAGCGAAACCAGGATTCATAATTAATTGTGTAAACGTTCTCTGGTTAAAAAAGATTTATTTATTAACAAGCTTTCGACTGGCAGTCTGCAGTCTTCGACGGGTAGATTTATAATGTGCTAGTGATATAAGATATGATACAGAGTGAATATATGGAACGTCATGTGTCCAAAAATTATTTAACGTTAATTATATCATATCATGACTAAAACTGTCATTATATATAAATAATTAATAAACGAACAGACATTATATCAAATCATGACTTATTCGTTTTTGTCGTTATTTGATATAATGTTATCAACATTAAGCATTATATCATATCATGAACTTCCGAAAAGTCATGATATGATATCATGACATTTCGACAAAATCATTATATCATATCATGACATTTCGACAAAATCATTATATGATATCATAAGCATTTGTGTAAGTCCTGATTTGATATAATGCTAATGCGTTACACTATGATATCAAATAATGACTTTTCAGTTGATTCATGATATGATATCATGTAAAAGAACTTTTTCATTATATCATATAATGAAACAGCGCCGAAAAGTCATTATTTGATATAATGCAATAGCGTAGTGCGCCATTTGTCCAAAAATTAAAACTGTCCAAAAATCAATTAACCTTATAATAACTCAAACGTCCGGTAACTTAAAACCTCCGGTATCCCAGTTGATTGGACCCCCGTAGATTCGGACTCCTGGTCCATATCCACTAGTAGATTTGGGCCGGCACTCATGGGCCAAAGGCTACAAACAAATCTCTAGCTTCGATTACAATCGATGCGAATTTGTACACTACAGGGTGTATAAAAAAAAACGCAACCTCGGAACTTCCTAAGAAATCACTTTGCAATTCTTAAGCATAAAAGATTTTAGGCCCCTGGGAATTGAAATCGAATTGCTAATAGATCATATTACTGTTGTTGTGCATTAAATAAATGCATAAATTTTGCTTTGTGCACTCGCGTGTGCAGTAATTTTGACAGTTGTGCTATTTTAAATTCCCAGGCGCCTAAAATCTTTTGTATTTAAAACAATGTCGATTTCTTGGGAAATTCCGAGGTTGCGTTTTTTTTTATACACCCTGTATAGTGCAATATAAGCAAGGACAAGTTAAAGGTTCGACAGTTTATTTTGATCTATTGTATGGTTCTCATTTGCCTAATACAATAACATTTAGTTCACAATACAATATAAACAAGGGCAAGTTAAAGGTTTGACCATATTAAAATACATGTATTGAAATTCGCGCAATAGCTACTGGAATTCGCGCAAGTAAAGATAAAGCGAGCGTTCGATCAAAATACCAAAAAGAACTAAGACATTTATTGTATGGTTCTCATTTGCCTAATTTTTGTATCTTGCTTGTTTGGGTTATAGAGACCTCTAGCATATATGCTACTCGCACTAGTAATCAAAGACTAATTTATTGATAGAATTAAGTAAATATACATACAAGCATTGACAGGCAATTAGGATATATGATATGGGTGTGTGTGTGAAAGGTTAAGCCTGGAATGAATTAAGTACAGGATACAACATTCCTCCCCTGTTTAGTAACTTGCTAGGTTGAACTATATATATTTGATTCCTATTGCTGATTGTTCGTAATTTGAATTTCGTACCATTGTTCTTGCTAAATTAACTAAATTATCTATGTGCTTAATAATGTCAGATTCTCTTAGCTTAGGTGTCCATTATTCAATATCTAAGGCGATCTGAGACGGTTTTCTCTCGTGTGGATCTGCGGAGCGGGGTTGGGTCTGGTTGGATGATGGGAATGTTTGGGTTGCTGTCTGGTGGAGTTTCTTCAGTGGTGCTTTGTGGTAGTTGGGATTCTGCAACGAAATCCTCGTCTTCTACGTTGTTCGGTTCTGATGTGGTCCAATATTTCTTGACATGAGAAGAGTTTCGTCGGTGCTGTTTACCATGGAGATCTGTTAACACGATCTGTGTTCCGTTGATCTTCGTGATTGTCATCGGATCTTTGCAAAACTTTGTCGAATACTTGTTTTTTCTCTTCTGTTTGACCAGAACTTTATCTCCTACGATAAATTTTCGTTCCGCTGCATGACGTTTCTTGTCGGTGTATGCTTTCGCTTTCGACTTCTCGTTATCGTCTTTTCTTCGCACTTCCTCGTGCCAATCTGTTGGTTGGTCCACCGTGGAAATTGCTGGGATCTTGGTTCGAAGTTCCCTCTTCATGAGTAGTTTTGCTGGGGTCTGTCCAGTGATTCGGTGGGGTGTGGTTCGATAGTGGAGAAGTAGGTTTGGTAGTGATTCTCTCCAGTCCTTTTGCTCTGCTTGTGCTGTGAGGACATGTTTCTTGATGACGATTTGCCTGTGGCCAGTATTCGATCACGGTTTTGTGCTGGACTCCCCAGGACTGTAGGGTCGTTTTGAATTGTGTAGAGGTAAAGTAGGAGCCGTTGTCCGACTTCAGGACTGTGGGATAGCCATGTTGGGCGAAGATGGAATTGAGCCACTTCAGAATTGTAGCGGAGGTAACGGTTATGAGGGTCTTGGCTTCGGGCCATCTGGAGTAGTAGTCTGTGAGAACAACAATGTACTCACCAGTCGGGAATGGTCCACAGATGTCGATTGCTAACTCGGTCCAGGGTTCTTTGGGTAGCTCTGTTGGACGCATTGGTTCAGGGCGTGGTGGTTGTGCTACCAATTAACAGGGATGACAACATTTGACGTGAGCTTCGACGTGCTTGTCCATCTGCGGCCACCACAGTTTTGCTCGGATGCGTTGTTTGCACTTTGTGATCCCTGCGTGGTCTTCGTGAGCTAAGGATATGGCTTTCTGTCGGAGGTCGGCTGGAAGGACGATTCGGTTCCCACGAAGAAGGATGTTTTGGTTAGTGACACAGAGTTCATCCACGACTGATTGGTAGGGTGGTGGAATCTTGTATAACTGGTTTGTTTGTAAACAGGTTCGTATCTGTGCCAGTTCTGGATCGTTGATAGAGGCCTGTTGGATTTCCTCTATTGACATGGCTCGTGGTGCAAGATACTGGGAAAGGTAGTGGACATATCGGTCTGCGCAGGCTTCCATGTTGCTTCGGGTGTTAGTGGGAGATTGTTTTGGAAGTCTCGATAAAGGATCAGCTAGGTTTTTGGGACCCGGTCTGTACACGACTTTAAAATCGTACTCTTGAAGTCGCAATCTCCACCTTTCGATTCTTGCAGGGGTTGACTTACTCGCGTTGTTGGGTTTGGGTTTGTAAATGTGTTCTAGGGGTCGGTGGTCGGTTTCAAGTTCGAAATCTCGTCCGTAAAGGTACATGTGGAAATGTTCACATCCAAACACGATCGCTAGCGATTCTTTCTCGATTTGGGCGTACTTTTGCTCTGTCTCGGACAAGGATCTGCTTCCGTACGCTACGGGACGATAAAAGCTATCTTGTTGCTCTTGCAGGAGAACTGCGCCGACCGCCCATGGTGATGCGTCAACTACGACTCGCGTTTTGGCTTCGAGACTGTAATGAGCCAAAACTGGAGCACTCGTTAGGGCTTGCTTCAGGGTGATGAATGCTTTCTCGTGTTCGTCGCTCCATCGAAACTTTGCGTCTGCCTTCGTGAGCTGGCGAAGTGGGTAGGTGATGCTGCTGTAATTTGGGATATACCTGGAGCAGTAGTTTGTTAGACCCAGGAACGATCTAACTTCCGAGGCTGACTTTGGTGGTGGGGCGTTGTTCACCGCTTCGATTTTGGCTTTGTCTGGCTGTATTCCATTTCCAGAAACGATATGTCCGAAGACATTGATTTCTGGAACTGAAAACGAGCATTTGGGTAGTTTGAGGGTTAAACCGCTGGACTCCAATTTGGTTAACAACTGTTCGAGTTGTTTATAGTGGGACTGTCGGTCATCGGACCATAACCAGATGTTATCTGAGATGTTTGCACATCTAGGAATGCCCTTGATAAGTTCATGGATTATCTCGTGGAAGTATTCGCCAGAGGGTGATGCTCCCATTATCAAACGCTTGAAACGGTGGGGGCCCTCGTCGGGGGTGGTAAAGGCAGTGATATATCTCGATTCTTCCGCGAGGGTGAGTTGTAGATAGCCTTGGGACAGATCGACTTCCGTAAATACTTTAGCTCCTTCCATCTGGCGTAGAATCTCGTCAACGGTTGGGATCTGAACTCTACGTCTGATTAGAGCTGTGTTTGGAACGCGCATGTCGAGAACCAGTCTGACGTCACCAGTTTTCTTTGGAATGGCGATGAGTGGGGATAACCATGGTGTTGCACCCTCCACTTTTTCAATGATGCCGTCGTCACGCATTTCACGTAATTTCTCGTTTACTTTTTTTCTCATGTTGTGCGGAATTCGTCTGGACGACTGTGCTACGGGTGATATGGATTTATCGATCTCGAGTTTGACCTCAACGCCTTTCAAATTGCCGGTTCCTTTGAAAAGTTTTTCGTGTTGCTTGAGCAACTTCGCTATAACTGGATCCTCGTGCTGCGCAATATTGTTTATGTTCAATGTTATTAGTCCTAATGCCGTAGATGATTCACAGCCGAGAATACATTGAGATTTTGCCGTTGTGACGTAAAACGTTGCGTCTATAGATTGACCGTGTGTTGATTTAATTGTTGTGTGAAATTCTCCAGAAAGGTCTATAGGGCTATCAGTTCCGTATGCACGAATTTTTGCGTTTGTTTTGGCTAGTTTAATGTGATTGTTCTCGCTTTTAATGCGCTCGAATATTTCAGTGTGAATAATGTTGACAGATGCGCCGGAATCGATTAGTACTTTCACTGGAGTGTGTCCAATTTTGATCTGAGTCTCAGGTGACTTATTTGGCGTTGACTTTAAGGTAAAACAATTATCATCGTCCGAGTCTTGTAAGTATCTGTCATCGGGTGTCTTGAGTGGGGTAATATGTTTTACCGATTTACTGCTCGATTTGCATAATTTTGCGAAATGTCCGAGTTTTCCGCAATTATGGCAGGATTTTCCTCGAGCAGGGCAATTCTGCATTCCGTCTTTGTGTGGAAATGCTCCACCGCAGTTTCGGCAGGTTTTCTTTCCGTCCGGTGGTGGTTTTCGTCTGCGATTGAATGCACCCCGTGGTTGCGATGCTGGTGGCTGGCGGTTTCTTTCCAATGCGTTTAGGTCTGTGTTTGCGTTTTCTAGTCGTTGCGCTTGTTGATCCGTAATTTCTAGCGAAGTTCCGTGCGCTAATAAGGCTTTTAAGTCCATGCTTTCACGAAGGGCTTTCTTTCGCAATCTTGGGTCTCGTGTCTTGTGGATGATTTGTATTTTAATCTCTTCGTCTTCGTTCGCGAATTCACAGTCTGTTGCCTTGGTTTTGAGTCTTCGATAATACGCAGTTAGAGTCTCGTTAGTTTCTTGTGTCAACTCGCGAAATTCGAATATAGCTACATCTTTGTTTCCACGCGGAGTGAAATACTGCGTTAAACTGTCGACGGCTGATTCATACGTTGTACCGGTGTCTGGCAGAATGTCGAAGATATCGTTTGTTGCTTCGCCAACGTATGTCAAGAGAAGACCTCGCCGGATGGTCGAGTCGAACTCTCGAAGGCTGATGAGTAGGTTTTCAAAACGCCGTATCCATTTCTTCCATCGTTGAGACACTGTTGCTGAATCTGTGATTGGGTCAAATGGGGGAAAAGGGGGTAGACCACTTTTAGGAGCGTTAAAACTTTGTGTTGTAGGGTTTGGTTGTTTTGATGCCGGTTGGTCTTTCCCTGAAGATGTAGCACTTTCATCATCACTCATGTTTGTTAGTTATCCTCGTCGCCACTTTTGTATCTTGCTTGTTTGGGTTATAGAGACCTCTAGCATATATGCTACTCGCACTAGTTGTAATCAAAGACTAATTTATTGATAGAATTAAGTAAATATATATACAAGCATTGACAGGCAATTAGGATATATGATATGGGTGTGTGTGTGAAAGGTTAAGCCTGGAATGAATTAAGTACAGGATACAACACTAATAGAATAACATTTAGTTCACAATATAATATAAATAAAATATATATGTACGTGGTCTCTTGAGAACGAAGCAACAACATATTATATTGATATATTGCGTGTAGGTTTCTTAATTTAAGAAACAAACAACAACATATTATATTGCTATATGATATATTTTGCTTGAGTTCTTAAGAACGAAGCAACAACATATTATATTTATTTATTCATGTAAGGACTTCCCGTTCCCGTGTTATGTACGCGTGGTCTCTTGACAAAGAAGCAAAATTATGTTGATATATTGCGTGAGTTCTTAAGAAAGAAGCAACAACATATTATATTATTGATATAAGGATCTCCCGTTCCCGTGTTATGTATGTGGTCTCTTGAGAACGAAGGAAAATTATATTGATATATTGCGCGTCTCTTGAGAACAGAGGAACGTTTCTTAACCGAACGTTGACAACATATTATATTGATATATTGCGTGATTTCTTAAGAACGAAGCAATTACAACATATTATATCATGATTGATATAAGGATCCTTCCTTTCCGCGTTATATACGTGGTCTCTTGAGAACGAAGCAACAACATATTATATTGATATATTCCGCGTGTAGGTTTCTTAATTTAAGAAAGAAACAACAACATATTATATATTGCTACATGATATATTGCGTGAGTTGTTAAGAACGAAGCAACAACATATTGTTATATTATTGATATAAGAAATGTCTATTGACTTCCATATTATTTTGCCAATGGATCCAATTGACAGGTAATTTTCCAATGGACAGGTTATTTTGTCCATTGGATCCACTGGACAGGTAATATTCCATTAGAGGACAATAATTGGTCCATTGGATCCATTGGATCCATTGGACCATTGGAACATCTCTCTGGATTCATAATCATGTCCACATGGGATCTTGCAACCTGTTGATTACGTAATGGTAAAAACGCGGAAGTTCTTGTCCGGTTGATGCATTATTTCGATCGGCAACCTTCACATGGTCTCTTATTCGGTGATGCATAGTTCTGATAGTTGATCCATTACTGGCCAATGGACACTCCATTTTTCCATTGGATCCAATGGACACGCAAAAGTCCAATGGAAAATTGGAGGTCCATTTGATCCATTTGACAAATGGAATGTCCAATGGCCTTTTGATTTTTCCATCTGACATCTTGCATAGGTATTGGACATGTATGTAAATATATTGATGAAGTTCACTGTATTGCGAAATGGTTATTAAAAAAGACAATATACTTGAGAAAATTATACAATTATATTATTGTATGCCAATTACATGTCAATATTAATATATAAAACTGATTTTTTGTTGGGCAGACAAAGATAAAATTTCAATTACCTGTCAAATCATTCACCACACAATGGTTTACAATAAGGTTTCCAAGGTATTGTGAGCTTGGTACCCATAAATAAAGCACCTTTAGGCTGATGGGAGTAAGATATCAGCTTTAATACTGTTTAATAACCTGGAAAATATTTACAGTATTTGTGGAAATTTTTCATGATCCTTTAATCTTTATACTTGGTCATGGCATCAATGATAATGTGGTTGGATAACAGGAATATTGCAACTGTATTTGTTGATTTAAATGTTACAATATTCTGGGGTTTTTTTTATTCATGTCTACATCATTCTAACTTAGCTGATGAAATGTTTTATAAGCAAAACGATATAGAGCCTGTGCCTGTTGGCTGTCAAGAGATTGCTTCCTTCTGGTATTCATATAATTAAATCATCTAACTCAGCAACCAATTTCACAGAATCTACAACCTTTCATTCCATATAGTTATTACTCTGTTTATTTACTCAACAATGTCACAGCCTTTGTTTGCCATTGCAACTTTGCAATAAGTATACATTGTTTGATTGCTTTCAGAAGTGCTCCTTTGCATTCTACAAGAGTGAAACAATAGGCCTCCTTAGCTCGGTATGCAAAATAGCCCACTTCAATGTTATCAACACTTTTGAAAATATCATTATATGTATATTATTATTAGTGCTATGTGTAGTTTTTGGAATGTGTTTTTTATAAGGGCCACAAATTTCCAAGCATTTGTTGTTTGGTGCAACACTTTAAATAAATCTCATTAAATGTTGCACAATCACAGGCGTTTAAATATAGGGCCTATTCCAATAGGCAATTCCAGCTTTTAATTTATAAGCGCAAGGGATGACGGGAAGTAAGGTATCATATTGAAAAATTTCAATACAAACTGCCGAAACAACCGAAATATTTCAATATTTACAAGTATAAACTATCACATCGTGCTTAAATGGCCACCATTTTTATTTTTTTCAACATAATCAGCAATATGGTACCTTACTTCCCATCCTCCATTCACACATAAACTAAAAGCTGGAATTGCGACTTTTTGAAAATCGAACTGCTAATTAATATTTCACTGATTTCCAAAAAAATTGATATTCACGATAATATTTTCCCACATATGAAAATGTTTTCCCAACGATATTTCCTCCCACTATTTCAATTTTGTCATTGTCTGTGCCCATAAAATGGAAAGAGATTGTCCCAAATTCTTGTCCCCCCCCCCAGCTTGTACGCCTATGACAGCAATGACACGTGGAGTTTCAATTCCTAACATGAATGCATAATTCCAATTGCAAATAAGCCATATTTATGATTACACTTTACAATATTGAGGTTGATTGTAATGTGTATTTTACCATTGTCTCACGTTTTCTGCTTCTGCTTTATTATTTTACTCTGTCTACTGCCAGATGATTTAAACAGTACTTTAGGGTATAGTGCTGCCACTCAATCGGTTAATCAGACTATATAATCAGACTATCATTGTCAAGGGATAGGCCATATACGCATATGATTGTGTAACATTTAATGAGATTTATTTAAAATGTTGCACCAAACAGCAAATCCTTGAAAATTTGTGGCCCTCTATAAAAACACATTCCTAAAACTACATTTAGCACTAATAATAATATACATATATTAAATGATATTGATGAGGTAACTATTGTTTCATTTGATCCTTCCAACTGAAGCCAAAAGTAGTACATTTCTCAAAAGTGTTGATAAGTGATAACAGTCATTGAAGTGGGCTATTTTGCATATCGATCTAAGGAGGCGTACAGTATTGTTTCGCTCTTGTAGAATGCAAAGGCGCACTTCTGAAAGCAATCAAATAATGTATTCTTATTTAAAAGTTGTAATGAGACTGTGACATTGTTGAGTATTAAAATAAACAGAGTAATAACTATATGGAATGAAAGGTTGTAGATTCTGTTAAATTGTTTGCTGAGTTAGATGATTTAATTAAATGAATACCAGACAGAAGCAGTCTTAAGTTCTGCTCTTAGCCGAGGTAAATATTGTAATTGACAGCCAAAAGGCATAGGCTCTATATCGTTTTACTTATAAAACATTTCATCAGCTAAAGTTAGAATGATGTAGACATTGTAACATCTAAATTAACAAATACAGTAATGCAAATTCCTGTTATCCAACCACATTATCATTGATGATCATGAAAAATGAAAATTTTTCACGAATACTGTAAATATTTTCCAGGTTAACAGTAAGCTGATACCTTACTCCCATCAGCCTAGAGGTGCTTTATTTATGGGTACAAAGCTCACAACGCCTGGGAAACCTTGTAAGCCATTGGGTGGTGAATGATTTGACAGGTAATTGAAATTTTATATTTGTCTGCCCAACAAAAAATCAGTTTATATTAATAAAAATATTGACATGTAAGGCGAGACCTTTTTTATTTATTGGTACACGGGTTTGACTTTAAAAATAAGAGGTCGGTAGGTAAAAAAATCAAACTGAGTATAAATAGAACCAAAATTAATAATCTTTATAAAATTTTTTAACATTAATTAAAACAACACACACACAAAAAACGTGGCTAATCTCCACAAATAAATCTCCATATTGATTGTCACAAGTCACAACGATAACATGAGCCAGCAGTACTTAGAGTCAAAGTTTACTTGAACTTTCTTGAACTGTACTTCATGTCAGAAGCCCAAATTAATTAAAATTAACTAAAATTGTAAAATTTTTGACATCCAAATTTATTTTTTTTATTTTTCACTTTCTGAAAATTTACGGTCGGTGGATCCGTAAATTAATAAAAAAAGTCTCGCCTAATTGGCATAACAATAATTGTATAATTTTTCAAGTAATATTGTCTAATTTTTCTTACCATTTCACAATACAGTGAAATACGACTGCAACGTGTACGTGTGCTTTTCGCTCCGCTATATTTTTATATATTTTGGATAAAATCTTAGTTTTTAATCAACTATGAATTATCTTAACGGTCTATCTTACGACAGTGGAACATATGTATGGCTTAAAACCTTTGAGGAATTAGAAAGGTTTGTTCTAGAAGCACTAAACTTGAAAGGCAAGTGGAAATCCCCTGGAGGCGACGTTAAAGTTTTCAAAAGCGAAGGAGAAGGGGAATATATGATTAAATGGCGCGGTCCTCGTTCAAAAAAGCTGGTTATACAGAGTGATGATGCTGAAGAGAGTCTAAAGTTGAAGCTCGAAAGCTTGATAAATCGGGACCCGAAAGATGTAAATCCCTCATGCGAAGCATCAACGAAAGAGGTTTGTAGTAGTGTTAATAAACTGACTGAACCATCTGTATCGCAGTTTGATGGCTTGAAAGCAGATATTCCTACCCTAGTGGACATTACGAGTGATCTAATAACTGAAATTAACTTTATGCGATCTAAACAAAAAGACTTTGAGTCTGTTATTCGCAAGCAAGACAGCGAGATATGTAGACTTAGCGAAGCAAATTTGCTCCTTGCGTCAAGCTTGCGGTCTCTTGGGAATTCAACATTCAAAGTAATGAATATCAATCCTATGACCAACAGTCCCACTAATAATATGAGAAATACCACCTTTAATGACCCTACAACTACTGATAAGGATCCGCTAATTGACCCTAACATATACACCTCCCATACCATTGGACCAACTTTATTCAATGAATTTAATATCTACGACGAGTTTAGGAATATAGCAAGTGACCGGTCTAGCGTTCTAAACTCCGACTTAAATCAGTCAACTGAAGACATTATAAATATATCCCATAATGAAACTGATATACATAATGAGTCAGTTCTTATTGTCAAAGATCAACCTAGCGTCTCGAATACCGATCTCGTAAAAAACTGCACACTAACTGAAGCTACTAATCTAAATAAAGCCAGTAAAACTAAGTCAACAACGGGTAAATTTAATACCAGCACATCTCGATTAGGTAATGGACGTTTTAACCGAATGACACCTAAACGCCCAAAACATTTAACCCCGTGTCCATTCCTGAGGAAAAGAAAATTCTGTAAAAAAGGCAATAATTGTGACTTCCTACATCAGAAACCTCAATTTTATAATAACATCCAACGACCCTCCTATAAGATAATGGACAAAGCTGTCTCCTCACCCAGTTTTCATTACTCCCCTTTTCCTGTGAATCCCTATTATTTCCCTCCATTTCGATCCCCAATATACCACCCCACATCCCAACCTTTTCCATACCCTCCTTCATTGATGTCAGTACAAACAACAGGATATTGAGTACTGATAGACATCCGCGTAATGGTCGTTGTCACCGTGCTCGTACTCATAACCCTTCAAACTGTGTCTGCGTGTCTGTACATAGAACTAACTTAAATTCAGATTCTCATACAAAATTCCTACGTTTCGCCAATGTTAATGCGAGATCTCTTAAAAACAAAACAGCCGAAATCGTTGATCATGTTTTGAGCAACGATATTGATGTGTGTATTGTGACTGAGACCTGGTTAAATTAAAAGACGTTGACACTGTTAGCATAGCCGCGCTTTCTCCCCCTGGTTACTCTTTTAAAAACCTTCCTAGACAATCTAACAGAATGGGTGGAGGCACTGGCATAATGTTTAATACCAATTTTAAAGTTACTTTAATTGACGGAGGTGAAAAACGATCTTTTGAATACTCTGAATGGAACTTGGCTTTACTCAACCGTACGATTAAAAGATTAGCAGTCTATCGTCCACCTTATTCACAAACTCACCCTGTTTCTTCAAGCGTTTTCTTCGAAGAATTCTCCAACTTACTTGAGAGCATTGTTATGTGCACAGAAGTATTAGTAATCTCCGGTGACTTTAATTTCCATCTCGATGATCCGTCTGATACTGACGCGAAAACATTTACTGATTTATTGGAAACTTTTGGCTTATTACAACATGTTACTGTACCAACTCATTCGTCTGGGCATACCCTGGATCTTCTAATTTCGAGATCGTCCAATGACATTAATATTCACCTAGTCAAGACTACTTTCTTTTTGTCAGATCATTGTTTTGTTGAATGCAACCTCTCTTTTCCTCGCCCGAATCTTGTGACAAAGGAAATTCAGTTTCGTAAGACAAATCATTTGAATCTTCAGGCCTTCAAAGCTGACATCACTGATTCCAAACTGTGTAATGACCCATGCATTTGGTGAAACATTATGATAATACGCTATCACATATTTTGGAGAAACATGCCCCTTTACAAAGAAAGATAGTGGTTGTCAGACCAAGAGTACCATGGTTCAGTGAAGAACTTAAACGTATTAAGGCCAAACGCAGAAAACTGGAGAAAGTAATGCTACGATCAAATTGCCAAAATGATAAAGACGCTTATCGCCAAGCGCGTAACAAGTATGCTACCAGTTTGAAAAATGCTAGACATAAATACTATTCTGATCTTATCGATCAATGCTGGGGAGATTCAAGAAAACTTTTTAAGGTTGTGTCTTCACTTTGCAACACACCTCAAGAAAACTCCTTGCCTCCACATGATGATTCACGTAAACTGGCTGATGAGTTCGGAAAATATTTCTGTCGAAAGATTGAGCTAATTAGAAATGACATTGAAAACGTTGTAGTAGACCCACCATTAGTAGATTATCGTTTACCTGATATCAAATTAGACTCATTTAAGCTCCTGTCAGAAGAAGAAGTCCATAACATAATCATGAAGTCGTCGAATGCAACATGTAACCTTGATCCTATCCCAACATGGCTGCTGAAATTATGTGCCAGTGAGTTAACACCTGTCATTATGAAAATGATCAACTTGTCGTTAAGTGAAGGTCACGTCCCAGAAGCATGGAAAGTTGCCATTCTTATTCCAATTCTAAAAAAATACGGTCTTGATCTAGTCTTTGAGAACTTCAGGCCCGTCAGTAACCTGTCTTTCGTTTCTAAAGCTACGGAAAAAGCAGTTGTTAGCCAGTTATTTGAGCATTGTGCTGATAATGCTCCTCTTCCTAACAACCAATCGTCATATCGTCAATTTCACTCTACCGAAACAGCTCTCCTAAGAGTCCACAATGATATCCTTATGAACATGGACCAACAGAAAGTAACTCTTTTAGTGCTCTTGGATTTGAGTGCCGCCTTTGACACCATTGATCATGAAATTCTGATGAATATATTGAAGTTAGAATTTGGTGTGATCGGTAATGCCTTAAAGTGGATTAAGTCGTTTCTTTCCTGTAGAAAGCAGCGTATTAATATTAAGCAAAAGTTTTCCGCCAATTTTACGTTGAACTGTGGAGTACCACAAGGAAGCTGTCTTGGACCGGTCCTTTTCCTATTATACGTGTCTCAACTGTTCCAGATTATTAACAGGCACTTACCTTCTTCCCATGGGTATGCAGATGACACTCAACTTTATTTATCTTTCCGTCCTGAGTCACCCGTTGTCCAAGACCAAGCTATTCAAACTATTAATAATTGCATCGTCGAAGTTCGTGCTTGGTTAGTTTCACATAAATTAATGTTCAATGACACTAAAACGGAATTCTTGATAATTGGAACTCGCCAGCAGCTGTCTAAGGTTACAATCGACTCGATTGAAGTTGGTGATGCTGATATAAAACCTGTACAAGAAGTCCGAAATCTAGGTTCGTGGTTTGACGAACATATGTCGATGAATGTCCATGTGGGCAAGGTTTGCAGCAAAGCATTTAGGGGCTTGTACAACATCCGACAAATAAGGAAGTTTCTCTCCATCGAATCAACTAAAACGCTCGTACATGCCTTTGTGACGTCACACTTGGACTACTGCAATTCTCTCTTGTTCGGCATTCCCCAATACCAACTTCAGCGTCTTCAACGAGTTCTCAATGCCGCTGCTAGAGTGACGTGTCTTATACCAAGATGTGCTCATATTACCCCTGTCCTGATGCACCTTCACTGGCTGCCTGTCAAGTTTCGCGTTGATTTTAAAATTGCACTTCTGGTATATAAAGCCCTCCACGGGATGGCGCCAGGCTACATTATGGAACTGTTGTTAGAAAAACCGAACTGCTGTTACCAACTGAGATCTGATGATCAGGGACTACTTTTTATCCCAAAAACTAGAGCCAAGACTCTTGGTGATCGAGCATTTGTGCATGCAGCTCCGTCAATTTGGAACATGCTACCTTCTGGTATTAGAAATAGTAAAACAATTGACTGTTTTAAATCTCAATTAAAGACTTTCCTTTTTAAGAAAGCTTTCGATTCTAACTTTTAGATTTATAGACACCTATACCTTAATTCTTAATATTTTAGCTACTTGTATATAGTATAACCTCATTGTTGTAAAGCGCTTTGGAATATTTTATATAATTTAAGCGCTGTATAAATCTTTATATATTATTATTATTATACATCAATAGCCAAGCATTTAATGCTTTCTCTATTACATATATTAGATATTACAATTTCCTGGGGTTTTGGTTCTACGTACGCATCATTCGATCTAAGTAACTGAAAAGCTTCATATAAAAGCGAAAGGAAATGTAAACTGATATACAGCGGATTTTTCTGATCCCGTTGGCTGAAAAATAAAATAATCGTTACCTCTAAGCAGATTTGATAGTGCCTCAATCTGGTGTTCACTTAAATTGTACAACATCAGACCGATTTCACAGAACCTATAGCCACGCTATAGCCTTTCTGTCCATAGTTAAAATATTTATCGTTCGTTTTATATATTCGCCATGGCAAATTGCATTTTTGCAATACACCCGTGCTTCCCACCCCCCTGCTAATTTTATTGTTATGACGTCCCCGGACAGGATTCTTTCCGGTGAGTATTAATGAGTGCCGAGTTTTACAAGTCTCTCTCGTTCTCCGTTTCAAGTTCAAAACTGATCTCATAATAAACTGGATATACCCGATCAAAACCCATTCGAGAGAGACTTGGGGCAAGTCTAGTAACACAGCAACCATGAAACTTTAAATAAATCACAAAATCTTGAGCCAATGAAATAGACAATGTACGAAAATATCGTTATATTAACAGGTTCATCACAAATCCAGAAAATAAAGTTCACTTTAAACACCCAAGACCAAGTTACAACGCCATAAAGTTGTTGCTATGGAAGGCGACGCCAGACAAAATTTGAATTTAAAGTTCAAACGGTCAAAACAGTAAAAGTACAATAAATCCCAAATAGTACATCCAAATGAAACAAAATGTACGCATGAGAACAGGAACACAATTTGTCACTTAAGAGATTTCAAACAAATAGGACCACGACAACTGAGATATATATTCTGTGCATGAACCAAAATTCCAGGTTGTAGCGAGCGACGCTGAAATATGATACAAAAGACGATCATGCAGAGGGCTATTAGAACTGCAAATTCATGAAATCATGTTGGTTTCAATACCTCATGCAGAATTATTGGCAAAATGTTCTCATGTTACAGGAATGTTTATGATCAAAAACGAGTCCATACATTACCAGAAATATGGGACAAGATGGCGACTTTCATGGTGTAATTTATAGTAAACTTGTGACACAAGAGGTAAATATCCGACGAATAGACCAACATCCTTCGGGCGATGCAAAGTGTCGAGCTCGCGATATATTTAATGATGTCCAAACTGTTAATTTAGCTAAATAAATCGCTGTAATTTCCAGGGAAACTAGTTCCCGAAACGTTTAAAAGTTCGCCTTTTTACGGTTCTTGTATGTCGCCATTAGGCCATCTTAATATCCAAAAACGACAAGTTTTATTAATACAAATTTGAACTGTTTCCAGCAGCCATGTTTCATGTTTATTTTGAAAGACTAGATCCAGGCTCTCTCACGTAAAAACACAGGGATATTTTAGGATTTTTTAGGATATTTGCGATATTTTTAGTCTTGATAAAAATTTGCGGGGTTAAAGTTCAAAATACCGGAAGTGCTCAGCAAAAACTGCAAAATATAGTTTAAAATCACAGTTATTGGTTGAATAATACTTGAATTGGAAATTCAAAGTAAAATGCGAAGTCGTTTTACTTATGTTAGGCAATGTTAGGCATATAAAACCGACTTAGCCGCTGACAACTAAAGCGGGAGCAAAATGTCCCATATTTCTGGTAATGAAAAATATGCGCGGCAAACATGTGGATTGTATGGAAATTTACCCTGCAGTTAAAATACGATAATATTCAGATAAAGAATCCATTTTATCGTAATCCCATGTATAAACTATTTACCGGTTTTCAGGAAATGCCCTTACGAAAAAATGCATCATGCTGTGTCCATGCCATGAAAGCTCTAC